ACGACATCGCCTCCCAAGTAAGCTAAATTAATATAATATTATTATAAAAAAAAAAAAAAAAAGTAAGCTAAATTTTGTTGTCTTGTTACATAAAAAGCAAAGCCAGCAAGACTTGACTCTTCCTCCCTCTTGAACCAGGTTTGATCCTGCTACCGGATTATTAACGGGAACCAAAGATGGGACACTCATTAACGTCTACTTGAGAATTTTTGGTAGGAAATCAGAAAAGTATCTTTGTATCCATCTTCTTGTTTTCCAGGTAAAATGCCCATTCTCTAATACAAGCTAGCTTGTTGTGAGAGAGAAATCACAAATTTGGTTTTTATTTTTGTTGCTTTCTTTTGCAGGCACTAGCTTGCGCCTTCTGTTTCCTGCTGCGGCATTTTCTTGCTGGTTGGTACAAATGAAGACTCTTTTAACGGTTCCTCGTTTCCCTTCTCTCTCTCTCTCTCTGCCTTCACAAATCACAGATACAGAACTTAGTTTTGTTTCATGTCCAATCTATTAGCAACGTTGTTTTAGTTCGCTTACAAAGAGAGTTTCCATCCTTAAACGAGATCAAGGCGAGTGAATTTCAACAATATCAAGATTTCATATTGTAGCATATTTTTCATCTAATTTATAGAGCGACTGAATCATCTGTCTTGAAATGTTGTTACACATTAGTGACCAATCACTATTTATTAGTCCACACCACCGTTAAAGGTTAAGAGCTTTACGACACCCAAAGCCAAGTAAAAATAGTTCAGATTTCAGAAAGTCTAGGTCGAAAACACTCTGCTCGGATATAATTTGGTTTTGGTCCCAAAACAAGGAAGTAATAATAGTTTTAGTTTCTAGAAATGCAAGATGATAATGATTTAGTTAATATGACATGTATTTAATTTCTATATGAACAAAAAATTTATCAGTTTCAAATACTCTCATACTATCTCTCAATACAATAAAAATGGTATAGATAATAAACTTGAAAAATTGAGAGTCACCTGGAAATTCAACAATTGATCTTACAAGCCTTCAACAACTGATAAAGAATTATAATCATCAGGTTTTGAAGAGGTGCTTGATTATCTTCATTACTTTGATTTCGTGCATTCTGATTAATCTAGTGTTGTTAACATCTAAAGTGTTGAATTTGAATGTACTCAAATTTAGATTCTACGTGAAGAAACCAAATCACAGACCAAGGGCAATGTAGCATTTAAGATTGAAAAATAAATTTAATAACTAGAGCACAATGAAAGTAATATATAAAACTTACAGCCACCTAGTAAATTTAATAACTAGAGCACAATGAAAGTAACATATAAAACTTATTGCTAGCTCAATACTGAAACAAGAATAACTGAATAAGAATCTATATCCATTGTTAATGCTTACATCACTCATACAGTGACTAACCTTGGGAAATAAGCAATAGAAACCCTCCTATGCTTAGAACTGAAAGGTAACCATAAGTATGAAGAAGAATCATGTTTTTCTAAGTAAATTTTGTTAAGGATCATGCATCACTAAAATACGGCCATGTTTTTCTAAGTATGAAGAAGAATTTTATTTTTCTTAAAAGTTGCTATTATTTGTGTTGCCAACGGTTTGCCAAAACACCAAATGGAAGTTATCTTCAAATTTTGAATACATATGAAAGTTATCTTCTCCCACTTTTTGTCTGAACTGAACAACGACCGTATCTCTTGCTTCCTCTCCTTTTTTTCTCTGATATACACAAATGGTCATTAAGGTTGCATATAGCAACATGACCAACAGTGTTAACTAATGTCTTCAGATTAATTTCAAAAAGTTTCAGTGTAAAGATCAAAAGACACTATACTGTATGTCTTTTTGAATTGTAGACGTGGCTTAACCAATGAAATGAACCATCTACGTATGTTGGGTACACTACTTGAGAACGAGAAGCAGAAGCAGTCACGTTCCTCCAAGTGTTCGTTTTGAAAGAGAAAACCTCACATGTAGTTATGTACTCTAGTCTCTAGAAATTCGTACTAGGTTTAGGATCTACATATTTGTATAAATACCTTACCTTGTGAATCAATAAGATACAGAGCATCGCAACTCTTAAATACATTAATAAAAATATGTCGTAGAAAAGTAAATAAGAACGATTTGAAAACCGATTCTCTCAACGTCAATGTATTTACACAAACTTTGGTGAGTGGGTTACAATTATGACATTTACTCTGGAAAAAGAGGATATTCGGGTCATGAGATCTCTGACTACTCAGATGTCTTTCTGTAAATTTAGATACATCTCGTAATGACTTAGTCTTATTGATTCACATACAATATACATATAGATCAAACTTAATCCATAGACTCTAAACCGACTTTAATCCTTATCCCAATAGAATTAGGATCTTATCTAACCACGCTTGATATTTAGATCTTTACATTTTGAAAATTATCCCCAATGCCTTCCTTAAAATATTGAGACATAATCGATAATTCCAATTCTTTTGATACAAAAGTGAATTTAATAAGAGATTTAAACGGAAGCTTTGCTAGAATCTCTTCGACGAGATGGTGAGGTAATACTATAGTTGGAGTTGTTTTTCCCTCTGCCTCTCTCTCCCACGCCCCAAGTTTAGGTTTAGGGCTTCCTCTCTTTGGATCCTCCATTGGTATCGTCTTGTACATGTGTTTGTGATGCGACTGGTGAGCATTCTTTTTATATATAACTTCTGATTTTATTAGAAAAGACAAGATTTTTTTCTTTTTTCGACGTATTAGAAAATAGTAAAGACAATACATAGTCAATGTGTAGTGCCTGGAGGAACATACGTCATATATGGAATGTTAAAGGAAAAAATTTGGAACGTTATCTTCTATGCATAAAGTTTGTAAGATGTTCCAAGCAACTAATACTATGACATTTTTAATTAGTTTTTTTGTATTCTTAAGTGGATTCATTGATAAAACAGAAAAATATTACATACTATGCTAAAGTTTTACCTGATATAAATTGTGGTTATGCTTTTTAAAAAAAAAAACAGGTAGAATATTTCCTATTTGTTTTGGAAGATTTCAATTAATTTTTGTTTCTTTTTGGAAGATATTCATTCAAAATATTTAATTGAAAATATTAAATATTAAATCTGAAAAAAATAAATTTTAGGAGAAGATATTAAAAAAAAAATTCTCAAAACTTTCAAATTCTAATCAACCAAATCCCCAATTAATTTAAATGCCAAAATACAATTAATTTAAATTTAAATCTTAGTTTAGATAAAATTTTGGAAGTTTCAATTAATTTTCAAGTATTTTTTGGAAGCTTTCCTATCAAAATATTTAACCGAAGATAACATTAAACTCTGAAATTTTCAATTTCTTCAAAAAATTATTAAATAGAAATTCTCAAATAAAATTCTAGTGAAATCCTCTGAAAATCTTATTTCAAGTAAAAATTCATGTTCAATTAATTGTACTTTAAATAACTGGGACTTTTTTCAGTGGAATTAGAAAAGTTTGAATATTTGGATTTCTTCATAAAAGGAAAATTTACTAAAGGGCTGAAACCGATGAAGTAAAACTGAACATACGTATACTTGTATGTACGTACCCTCTGTTCAGAAATATTTGATGTTTTAGGAGGTTTTTTTTGTTCAGAATTATTTGATGTTTTCACTTTTCAATGTAAAATTTAATGAATTTTTATTGTTTTTGACCATTTATATTTTGCGATTGTTTTTTTATTGGCTGAATGATATTTAAATGAATTATAAATGATATTTTTAATGTAGAAAAAATAAAAATTAAATGCATTCTTAATCAAAAACCTTAAACATCAAATAATTCTGAATAGAGGGAATATCTTTTATTATTTATTGTAATTCATTATTTCTTATTATTACAACACAAGCTCCCACTCTTTGAAAACCTTTACAATAAAAGCCTTTAAAAATTCCATACACGTATCTCATATCACTATCTGAACTGTCTTCAATGATATTAGTCGAAATTGACTCCGTACTTAGGCTGCTGATTCGGAAGAAAAAGTCCGAAGAACTTCTCAGACTCATCAGGACCCTTTTGATTCTCATCGAACATAGCGAATATATAAGTCTCTATAGCCTTCCTTGGCCTCCTCGGAGAACCACTCTTCACAGTTTGTATCAAGTTGTTCACATAAGTTCTCGCATTATCCACACTCGTCGCGGGTCCTCCGGCGGTCGGCCAACCGCTCTCCGACACAACGATCTCCACCAATCCGCCTCCCGTTTTCTCCAATGCTGCGTAAACAGTGTCTAGTTGTGCGTGGAAGAGGTTTCGGTACGAGAATTGCCCGTCGTTGACAACAGTAGACGGTGTAAGCAGAGCGTAGTCTAAATGGATGTCTCTCATGTTGTTAATGTGACTGAAATAAGGGTATATATTCACGAGCAGAGGAGATTGCTTGCTTGCCAAGAAAGCTATCACCGGCGCGATAAAGTTCCTAAATTCCGGTGTGAACGCACCGTTCGAAGGCGGGAAACCTGTAATGCCTTTGGTGTCTATCGCTGTGGAGACTTTGATCCCTAGACCTGACACTGCTCTCTCGATGTTCTGCATCGCAGGGAGGACATACCTAGCGCGTGTGTCTGATGGTTGAACCTCGTTCCCGACAGAAATGTAGCGGAATCTGACACCGTTTGCATAGTTTCTGACGTTGTCTTGGACCCATTTGTCGGCTCCTGCTTGGCTGGAGGCGACAGTCTGGAGATCTGTGTTGGGAACATCGAGGATAAGCTCGATGTTGGAGCCACGAAGAGCGGCGAGAGTCTCTTGGTTTGGGTCGTAAATTCTCATCCTCCGGATGTTCCTCTGCCGGAAAAGTGATACCACGTCTGACGCACGTGGCAGGTTGTTTCCATTTCTCCCGTAGCATACTCCAATTTGTCCAGCTTCATTTTTCATATTAAGAATCGTTAGTAACAAGAATCAAAGAGATTAATATGATATGATCAATAGGTTAAAAAAAGATGATTGAACCTGCCGTGTCGAAGAAGGAAGCCATTAGGAAGCTGAGAAGAAGCAGTAACAGTGGTAGTGAGGCTAAGAAACTCGATTCATTAGACATCTTCATGAAGTAACAATTAAAGATGATGTTATGCTTTTTTATGCTTAGATATTTAAAATTCGTAGCACTTTGCTGCCTAATTTATAGAGTGAATCGGTGATACAAGTCAATGAAAATGAAACAAAGTCATCGCGTCATAGCATCACTAGTTTTGGAATGTTATACATTAAATCACCGTTCATGAATATCTCACTGCTTTGAAAAGTCTTTAAGCCTGAGTTTTCCTCTATACATGTAGGGCTAAAATATTTTTGGACCCTTTAAAAATCTAGTCTTCTTGTTTTGGTTTCTTGCTTAACAATTTATTTTAGAGCCTCTTTGTATAATTTTCTTTGGTAGATTTTGTTATGCGTATGGATTTTTTCAACTTTTCTTTTGATTATTTTTCTCGAATTTGATTTTTAAAATAAATGTCTTGAATTATGGGATATGGAATTGAACCGAGTTGTCTCACTTCATGTCTCCAGCCGGCTTTGCATGTAGTTTTCAATAGGGCCTAACTAGCTAGACACGAAATCATTACTAGCTTGACCAAGACGAACCCTCCACCGCCTCATCAAAGTCAAATACTCAAATCTCAAGTACTAAAATTTTCAATCAACGAATTCAATTTAAAAAAAAAAAGAATTTAAATGAATATATATAACCCCTTTCTCAAAAAAATTAAAATAAATGAATAGCCCGGATCTAGCTATCTGATCCAAGATTATAATCTTTATATTATAATCAAAAGAATTGTGAGTTAGTAATCTTGTAAACCAAAAGCAGTAATGAATTATGTTAACCATCAAAGATTTTAGACATCGAATATCTAAAATATTCCGAAATAATGGATCCCTAATACACGTCCCCTCGATACAAAGTCTAAGATTTAATGCGATGAGGACTTGCATTTTGGAATCATGGTATAAGCCGTTAATCACACGTTCGGTCGTGGACCATTGACTTGTATCCTTATTAGGTCATTACTCATTCAAGAAAGTAGCCATCGTCAATTTCTTGTTAGATGACTTCCGTTAGTAGTAGTTCTTGAAATCATCAACGGGCACCTTAAATCACGTTTTAGTTAAACGCTACACTCTAGAAACCAAATTTTTTCTATCTGCGAATCATTCTAAAGAAGAAAGGAAAAAATACGGCATTTCTCTATGTACTTTAAGGTAATCATCGTAACAAATTACAATGGATCCCGTTTCAAAAAAAAAAATTACAATGGGTATAATCATCGGATTTTCTATCATCAATTTTGTCACGGATTTCATACATTAGAGTTCATAGCCAATTTTTCATACGTATCATATATACATTGTATATATCCTCATACTATTATGTCGTAGGTACCTCATAGTAGCCTAGAAAATTAGTGCAAAATATTATGAAGAAATTAATTAGTATAAAACTCACACCACAAACTAAGATTAAGTTCGGTGTTTATGTAGTGATCATAATAGCTAAAGAAATTTCTTGTCGATTTCAAACGACAAAATAGACGCCGTGTTGATAGTGGTTTTCCTTAGGTTGTGGTACGTCTAATGTTTCATCTCGATGTGAAACTTTTTTTTGTTTTGTTTTACTATTAACGAAATAATTCACATATAATTGTAGAATTTTAAACAACTAAAAGAAAACAAGTGAAAATCATATATCATCGTGGATTTTTTTTTTTCTGTAAAAACTTTTTTTTTTTGGCATTTGGTCCATAATTTTTCAACAGACAGAAAACTGTAATTTTATTAGAATAGTCTTCTCTCCTCCTCATTACTTGATAAAATTTAAGAACTTGAAAAAATCACCTCTTTTGCGTCATGCACATTTTTTATTTACCACTATTTGTGGGTAGTTGGGGGTACGTATAGCACATACATAATAAACGTAGAGTCGTAGAGACTCAGGCTATGACAGTTATATTCCTTACGATGATCATTGATCATAATTAACAACATAAACATTAAAATAATCACAGTTTCGATCGAGTTACAAATAATAGCCTCATTATTCATGACAAATCTCTCCAACTTTATTCCTTGTATCTATATATTATCAAAATAGAAATTATAGCATTCCCTCGATGACATATTGGTTTGGCTCAACCAAAGTTAACCTCGTACTTAGGCTGCTTGTTCGGATGAAATAATCCCCAAAACTTCTCAACATCAGGAGGAGTAGGCTTCTTATTCTCATCATACATCGCAAATAAATAAGTCTCGATTTCTTTCCCTGGTCTCTTCGGTGTCCCATTCTTCACATGATTAATCAAATTATTGCTATAAATCCTCGCATTCTCCAGATTTGTCTCGGTTCCTCCTTCCGTTGGCCATCCAGTCTCCGACACGACAACATCCAACGATTCACCACCAGATCTCTCTAGAGCCGAATGCACCGCATCGAGCATCGCATCGAATAGGTTCTGGTAAGATCTTGGAGGGTCTGAGACGGTTCCTGGAGAAGCCGTGAAGAGAGCGTAATCGAGTCGGATTTGGTCTGGATTGCCCGCGTAGCTGAAGTAAGTGTAGAGGTTTAAGTGTAAAGGAGATTTCTTGTTTACCAAGAAACGTATGATTGGTTCCATGAGCACCATTACTTCTCCTTTAAACGAACCTTTCGAAGGTGGGTAAGACTCTCCGAGCACTCCCATGTCTATCGCTGTTGATACCTATTAAGAATCAAGCATTTACAACAAAAACGTAATGTTTCAAACGCAATAAAGATACATGCATGCTACCAAATTTCGTATAAAATAAAAAGACAATTTAGCGGTTCCATTGTTTCATTTCAAACGCACTTACGTTTTCAAAACAAGATTTACAATTAGAAAATAAATATTTCTTTGATTATTAGATAATTTTGCTATATGTGAACAAAAATAAAATTAACGAATTGGTGACCAGGAAAAAAAAAATATTTTGCAAAATATTTTGCGAATTGTAAACTAAAGTAAAAATTAATTAAATGGTGAGCAGAAGAGAAAACTTATAATTTAAAATGCCAAAAGTTTTGGTGGTAATACCTTAATACGACCGCCGAGTCCGGATCCTAATACCGCCCGGTCAATATTTTCCATGGCAGGCACTAGAAATTGTGAGTAAGAGTCAAAGATCTTCACTTCGTTCCCAACAGATACGTAACGGAACTTGACGTCATCCACGTAGTTGTTGACGTTGTTTTGGACCCACGTGTCAGCTTCAGATTGGCTAGAGGCTATGCGTTGTAGGTCCTGGTTAGGGAGGCCCAACATGACTTCGATGTCGGAGCCACGTAAGGCGGCAAGAACGTCGTGGTCCGGACTGTAAAGCCTAACTCGCCGGATGTTTTTCTGTTTGAAGAGCTCAATGGTTTCTGCCGGCGACGGGAGATTGTCACCGTATCTTCCGTAGCAAACGCCAACTTGTTGTCCAGCTGTTAAATAATAAATAATAAGAATCCAATAACCAACATATTAATACCTTATCAGATATCGCATAATTTTCTATCCTAAAAAATCTATATATTTCATCAGAGAAAATGTTACTAAAATTAATTTTTGCTAATAGTAAGAAGACATATATCATTTCGATTGAATTTTTGGTTTACTAAATGTTTTAAACTTACTATGAACCAATAATATAGATAGTTATATTGAATTTTCAATATTTTTTAGTTTTACTTTTAATTGAAAATAACTAATAGTAAATTAGCGACTTGGTCTGATTTTTTATTTTTCTCAACATAGTCTGCTAACTCTATGGTAGCGTAATATTATAATATATAAGTTATATTTTCTACATACAGAACGAAATCAAGAGAAATTGATGACCTGCGGTATGTGAATTGACGAAGAACAGACCGAGAAGAATGGTTAACGACGCCAAGAAACGGAGATCCATGGCTGGTACCCTGGGATATATTTGAGCTAGCGACTGATGAATTAGGAAGTCAATATCGTTTATTGTAATTACGTTGATCTTGTACATATACACACACAATATTAATGTTAAAAGAAAAAAATTAGAGAAATAATATCGAAATGTACCCAAATGGGCGAATGGGAATATGGATATATAACGAATAAGAAATAAGTAAAATAAAGAGTGTTGACTGTATCTCTTAATAGTAAATACAATGGAATCAGTCTATCAGATATGGTATCTAACACATAAGAGACTGCGAGAAAGACATTTGTCTCTTCATAAGTCCACTAGGTGCAACTTGCAAGTCAAGCAACGAGTGGAATTTATTAGGGCTTAGAAATGTTGAAATCAAGTAGGGAATAGGTGCTACATGGACTTCTGATTGGAAAAACCCAACTGAAAAATTTCTGCTGAATTAAATAAGAAAAATAAAATAAAGGGAGCTCTAATAAAATTAAAATTTTCAACCATTGAACGAACCATCGTGAATTGGTTAATCGAACAGAACGATACGACATGAAAAGTGTAGACTTTTAAACTTAATTATGTCGACGCGGACTAAGGAAAAAGACATTTTCAATCAGATCGATTACAATATTATTTGGGTGTGTGCATGATATGTAAGAAGGTTCTTTAAATTCGGTTGGTCGTTGCGGTTATTCTTTCCTCGTCGTCACGGCAGCGCAGCGCTTAATGACGATCCACCGGAAAAAGTAGAAAGAAAAGACTTTTGTTGTCGTGACTCGTGAGTCTTGTGGCCGTGTACCTTAATGTTTGTTGAACATTAAAATGTGAGGAAAAGTCTTTCATTTTTGGTTCCGGTCTTCACGTCGCCAATAGATGTGTGAATCTCCCAACTAACATGCTAATTAATTAATTTAGTGTACATTTAAGTTTATTTTTATATTTGTTTTAGTTCTATTTGTGAGTGTTTTCTTAAGCCATCATGAGAAAACATACATTAGTAAATGTGAAAATTCGGATAGATGCACAGTTGTAAGTTGTAACATACATCTTGTTCTTAAACTATATAAAAATTTGAACATCTAAACTGATATCTCGAAGTATACAAAAAAAAGGTACAAATATAAAGTTAGCCAGCCAATCTCAATTTGCATACTTTGACGTAAACAACCTCCAACGTCCTTCGTTATCAACTAT